TAATAAGCATCCCGCTGAGGTGGTCGTATTTACATTTCTTAGTCTTTATTCCAACTTATAAGAAAAGGACATTACACCTATACCTTTGCGAGTGTTGTAGTTGCTTGTAACAACATTTTTTCTATGCCGGTATGTACGGCGGCAACAGTAGTAATAAGCAATTGATGTTAATACAATACCATCTGCGACATCCATTTTTCATGACTCTATGTTACTCTGCAGCAGTTAATTGAAATGTGGTACCACAGCCTCGATACTTCTGTTTAAATTTATAGCCGCGATACACATAAATACATTGCAAATGTATTATTAACCTTTGAATGTGAACGGGTAATAAAAGTATCGAGCTGATAATACATATGCTTATTTTTTTATTCTCTTCCAATACCTTTTCGAGGATATTTTTATAAATTTATGCGCGATTAAGTGTAAATGAATTCGATATATTGTTTATTAATTCATGTCGTTTTAAATGCACACGAACATTGCATGCTTCGGTGTTACTGACACACAATGTTTTATTTGCATTCGTATGTTATAAATAATTTTATTTTATGTTCAATGTTTAAAGAAGGCGATTTAATAGTTTTAAAAGAAATGTTTACAAATATAAGAAGCCAGTATTTTTAGTCGGAAAACTAAATCACTAAAAAAAATAAAAAAAAGATACGAGAACAGTTGCGCGCAACAAACACAGGTTTGGATACAAATATAAATAATTTATCGTTCAAATTTTTTTGCGTGTCACAAACTTTTTTACTACGCATAATAAAAGCGAGACAGAGGATATGGGGACTCGACTAATATCGATTTATTAATCGGTTACGGTACTCGATTATCCATATCATTATCGGAGACGACGACTATTTGCATTTAATGCGCCGTAAACATTTACGATCGTGTCGTTCGGAGCGGAATCGATTCTCGAATTGATATTTTATCGATACCTGTCTGTTCGCCGACGGCCGACACTAAATACGTTTGCAACTAATTTTATACCTAATTTATTGTAATGGATTCGAGAAATCGGATAATTTAGACTCGTTATGTTTTCGGTTGCCTTATTAACGGTCGATAGTAAACTATTGGATTTACTTTGATCTAGTCTTATTAATTATGATTCAACGTGTTTTGTAAACTTAATTAAATGTATGACGTTAAAAGAAACTTTCATCTAATTTATGTTTCTTGTTATTTTTATTAGGAGCAAATTTATTATCGCGTATCTTCATTTTAATAAATTTTATTTGGCCTAAAAGATAATCTGTCTATCAATTCCAAAGCTCTTAATTTAATGATAGTTTTAGCATAAAAAGTACTAATAAATGTTTATTGACTAGTTAGTAGTAGGGAAACCCGGTTTATCTTAATCACACATTTTATACTCAACTAAGAAATTCTATAAATCGGTTTATTTTGCTAAAGAATTCTCGGCGTTTTAGTGTGGCTGAAGACAAGAGAGAAATACCTCTTCGTGATTATACCTTGCCTAGATCAAACCGTTAATGTATAATTACGCAAGTAAAAATGTTTCTGTATTGTGTCTGTGGCAAGTAATACTTTGTCAACTAATTTATTTCCATGAGATTTCAACAAACTATGTGTTAAACTAGTTGACACGTAAATCCATGAGCGATGTCTTGTTTACAACGATATGGCGTATCGCCGCCATGTTGCTTTGTGGATAAATTCGCATCTGTCCGAGCTGTGAGTGGTGACAGATCGCTGCATTGGCTCACCGCGACTGGCACATACTTTACCGAGCTTTACTGGGTAAGTGGGCTAGTTCACAGAGAGGGGTGTACAGGTATGTAAGTAGTGGTACTACGTAGAAATCTCTAGCGTTTTTTCACGGCAATATAGTATAAGATAAATACTATCTCAGTTGATCTTGCACTGCGCGGATGGGATTTTCGTGCGGTACAGCGCGGTCATTTGAGCTTAAACGTACCTTTTGTTAGTAAAAATCTCTAGGCAGAGCAATCCTTGTGAGCGATGTAACGACAGCCCGAGGTGTCAGATTTTAATAACGGCCCAATCAGCCCGCCGCCACCGTACGCCGGACGCAACTCCGCTGCTCTTCCGCACGGGAAATGGAGCTCGTATTTGCGGCGAGCTCGCTCCATTTAGGGTTGTCAAAATCGTGAAATTGAGCAACCAACTTTGAATAGATAAAGACCAAAGACAAGATATGTTCCAAAGTCCATTCATAAACCATTATTTCTTAGATAAATAAATGATTGGAATCATTTAAATTATCTTTTTTAATGATTAAATAACACTGACATAAATACAAATTACCTAATGAGATAAAACATATTCGACAATAACCATATAAACTAATAGATAATAAAGAAGAAGCAAAATAAAATTTGTGAGTCAATCAATAATTGTTGTATCGCATTAGCAGCTGGCAACCCTGTGCAAGTTGTCGGCCGCGGCCGCAGGCTGAGCTGTGCGGAAGTCTGCGAACGAATTTTGCTTTTTCTCCTTTTTCCATTGCAATAAACGTGGGGTGAATTGTTCTCCAGTAAAATTTGCTTGCGTTTTGTCAACGAAGGGTGCTTTGATGAGGTTTTTTGGTAAAGCTCCGCAACGCAAAGTTTTGACAAAGCCTCGAGTATCGCCTGATTGAAAAACTGTTCCGTGAGATATATTTATGCAAGTATTTTATCTTTATAATGTAAAATATTATTAGAACGTCGTGAAATTATGAAATACTGTTTGAATAAAATCACTTCTTGACAGTTCTGAAAAATGTAACACAACATTTTGTCAAATACTTACAGTTAACACAACTGTCAAAACTGTATAGAAATTACTTTTAAAACAAACTTCTACAATACATAAAATAAACCTTAAGGTATTGTTCCACACTTCTCACAAAGCAATATCCGCAAATCGAAAGTGTCCAGTTTGTCAGCAGCGGGTCGTAAAGGCGTGTTTTATTTGCCAGGGCCGCGGTAACGACCCCCCGGCGACGCTTACTTGCTGCCGTTCCTCCAACACCGCTAGCCAGCTACAGATTGATAGAAGACGCAAGCAATTGCTCCACACATTGTGTATTGACAAAAGCTTAGTATAACAATGAAGACTATAAAGGAATTAAAAACACCATGTACATTTGATTAATTATTACGAAGAGTAAATACTTTCCAATAAAAAAATTGACGAGGCCTAGATGACATTTGATACTCAGTTTTAATATAAATAAACTAGCAATTTTCAAATATTAAATAACATAAGTAGGTGAATGATTTATGAATTTCAAACAAAAATATAAAATATAACTCGTGTTACATAAAGTACTTAACATGGCTGATTATAAGAGGGGTCTTTGCAAGTTCTCGTGAGTGTTATCTTGTTTTATGTGAATGTTGTAAGCCAAGTTTAAACGATTGGAAGTCCTGACGCGGCCCTAGCGGTCGATTGCTTACATTTTTATTTGTCCCCTGAGCTGTTCTGCTTGTAACAAGTTACCCTAATAAAATACTTTTAAAGAAATCGCTACAAAAACCAGACTTTAAATTCTGAAACTATTTAATAATGTCTATTATTGTTTTTATAATATAAAGATTTATGAAACATAAATGAGTATCCACATTTCATCTGACTTGTTACAATAAGGAATGTTACTTTTAAATTTCAGAGACAAATCTGAAAACATGGTGTGGTGTGACAGTATAGCAAAACTAGATAAAAATATGATAAGTTACATATTATCTCTCTAATAAATAATCATAATAGTCATAAAGGAAGCGTAGTATTATGTTCGCATTAATCAGTTCATCCCAATCGGGGATGAGAGTTCCACTAAAATAATTTACATTGAATAATAAACCTTAGTACATTAGCTTAAGGTCTCAAATTCCACATCACGGTGCTTGTGTAAATTCCTTGCTGAGCCCCGGGTAAGATCGGAGGCAAACATTGCGTTTAGGCATATTAATAAATTATCGGCTCCGGGCGATGTTTGCTCACATATTTTAGTGTGCCTGCGCTAATCACAGAAGAAACTTGGCCTTAAGTTGTCGACAAATACACTGTATGCTTTGTTTGACTCGCAAATGTACCGCGCAGGGTTGAACATTTAGAATTTACATTTTTATTGTGAAAAAAAATTGTTTTAAAATGTCATTAAATGTATAAAGAAAAATTTAAATTCATAAGATTGTTTTTAGAATCTTGACGGTTTATTAACTTCGAATACTTTTTACAGAATTTGCTTGGTTTGTACGTTGAAATGGAAATGTTAAGAGAAAGAATTGGTTTGAGATTAATTTAGCAAATCAAAGCACAAGCATTTAGTAACTAAGTGTAAAACATCTACCTGAATAATGTTTTAGCTTGTGCCAACCCTAGCGGACAATATCTCGTTCCAAGACTTAACAAAGTATTACATCACTTAAAGACTTATTTCGCAGATTTCGATTAAGCAAAGTGATTGCATAACTTCTTAGTTGTTTGACTTTAAACGACTTCTCTATAAGCCGACTCTCGGTGATTCAGAAATTTGTAGATTTAAATCTGGGTTCGTGGCTCTGCACCGAACGACAGAACACTCTTTTTCCAAAACGCTTTAAGGTCCTTTCGTTGTGGTTAAAACTAGAAAATTGAAATTTCCCCATAATTTAAAAAAAAAGCGAGCCAATGCTCTCTGTAGATGGATAGGCCATTGCTTGAAAAGGGTTTTTGCTTCGTTACGCCTTGTTGCACCTGACAGTTCTTCAGTTACTTCTATCTGTTATTACTTCTAATACTCACCGCTGCCACCAACCGCAACCGTCAGAGCCAAAATGGCGAGAATCAATTAGGCACAAAATACCACGCTTAATAGCCTGTCTATGTACCGAGCCAGTGGACAGAGGAAGACCGTCATTTGTTCCATTTCAGAGCCGAACCAACCATCTCCACCAGCGGTGGCACGACTACTACACAGAACGAAGGTCACCTTGGGTATACTTGTGATTAGTTATATAATAAAATTACGCATGTTTTTAAATTAAACAGTCATTTATTTTTGCAATTTGAAGTATCACATGCGCGCTCTGATCCACGAGTTGAAGGAGCTGACGCGAGCGAATCCGGAGGGGCGGCGCGCTTCGCACTGCCCTGAGCCGAATGACGTCACCCCGATCTATAACATCATCAAAAGAATATCCTTCAGTTTCTTGATAATGTTGATTTTAACCAAATAGTAAAGACAAGAACAAATTTTATGTTAACTTCATCAATGATCATAAAGAATTTTCCTTTACGATGATGAAGAAGGTGCAATCTATATCCAGTCCTTTGTGTAATTAGTTGTAATCAACGACACATGTCGTATCATTGAATATTTCGATAATGATGACGACAAGTCGGCGTACCGACCTCTCAGGTCCAACACGCGCAGTCACAACGGCTGGATGCCGATTCCTTGGTTAATTTATTATTATACGATATAATAGGTGTAGAGGTAAATCACACTGAGAAAGTAGGTAGTAGTAGAGGTGCAAGGCAAAACAAGGAAAGGTACTAACGAGCCGGTTGTTGGCGACAAGCGGGCCGCCGGAGTCGCCGGTGCAGATGTTGCCTGTAGCGCCGCTGATGCAGAGCGTGGACGCGATCACAGAGTTGCTGTTAGAGAAAGCGGCGCGGCACGCGTCGTTGGTGATCACCTGCACGCGCACGTGCATCAGGTTCGGACTCGCCGCCGACGCTGAACGCAATGCCCATGCCAAATTAAAATTCAATAAGATATAACATAGATATAGATTTTAAAATAAACCAGAAGAGAACCAAATGAACAAAAAAAAACAAAAAACTAGTAGGGGGCCGCAGAGAAAGACGCAATAACTTGTCAAACATACGAATATCAATATATCCGTTCTATGGTTTCGTATACATTGTCATTTCTCTGTTGTCTTTTCATACACGTCCTTATCGTGAGGCTCTAAGAAAACCTAAATAAAGAGTGATTAAATTGTGGTGTGAGGTAAAATGCAAGCTGTAGCTAACCGTCCCGGGTCTTGCCGAAGCCGGCGGCCCAGGCCCACACGCCAGCGTACGTGTTGCTGCCCGACGCCAGCGCGATGTTTCGGATGTTGTCTGAAACCCAAATAATCCACGGATTGAAACACACCGAGAAAATTTGACCCATTTGAAACGAATCTTTTCAGAAACAAAATTCGAAAGAGTCGAAGCTTCATAAACTGTTTCGTCTTAAAATATACTTACTGCTATAGTTGACCCTGTTGATTGTGATGATGGCGATATCGTTGTGTAAGTTGCGGGGATTGTAGTTGGCGTGCAGTTCCATCCTGTTGGAGACGATCCTGGTTCCCCCGGAGAAGATGCGCACAGAGCCCAGCACGACGGTCACGTGGCGCACTAACTCTGGCTCAATGCGCAAGTTGTGGGCCGCGGTCAGAACCCGCGTGTTGCTTATCAGAGTACCTCCGCCGACGGAATCACGCCCGTTCTGCATCGTCATAATCAAGCCTGCCTACGACAGGAAACATAAATGAAAAGAAATATACTTGCAAAACCGAATTCATTAAAATTGTAAAATGTGTTTTCCAGATTATTTGACATTTATACATTACGGGTTCTTGTTTATCTCACCATGTAAGGGTAGGCGCCGAGTGCGGCCTGCGAGCCACTGATGATCCTACCGCCGTCGAAGTCGGACGCGAGCTCCGCCTTCTTGAGGGCTTCGGCGAGCGGAAAGCCAATGCGCTCATGGTAGTTTAGCTCCGGGTGCTCGTAGGGCTTAATCACTGCCCCCAGCGCGCTCAACGCCCCCAGGCAGCAGCACAAACTAAGTAGCACCAACTTCATCGCAACACCAGATCGACAAATGGCTACTCAAGTTGTACTGCCAAGTTTTATACTCATTAGAATGTTATCTGTTCAATCAAGCCGCTAAGACTTTCGTGATAAGTGTCTTACACAAATGATATCTAAATACATAGATAACTCTTGCCTTAAATTTATTGAAAACAAAGTCAAATGTCGCGAAATATAACGCCTTCCATTGAAAGGTAAAGGAGAAGACTTATATGAGCGACTAACTCCTCCGCCGGTTACCACTTATAGCCATCTGTATTGCAGTAATAATGAGCTCCATCGCTTACCTCTCTTCAATGCACAAAAGCATAGAAATACAGACATTTTACATACTTATTTGTTTTCTCCCCCGCGAAATTCAAAAAGTGTGAATATGTATTTCTCGTTTTTTTTTAATTAATCCACAACTCTGCCTAGATTTGTTTATCTAGGCATACGCAAATTGTAATGAATCTGTAAACTGCATATTGTACGAATTCGTACGCAAAGTTACCTTAATTTCAACCAATTTGTATTTCAACCATTACAAAATGCTGTATAGTGATGCCTAGTCAAATTAAAAAATTAAAATCTATCGATATATGTGTTACATGCCCTTCATAGTGACAATCCGACATATTGTTGCACCGTGGCTTAGAAAGAGGTAGAGGAGAAACAGAGTTCGGGAAATGTATCTTTTTTACCCATTGTCGAAATATTTCATAATAGATATAGATATTAATGTCAGGCTTACAGTTAGTTTAAAATTGATTAATTACTTTATATAGTATCATTTCTTAATTACATGATAAAGACGGAATCTGGTGAATCCTCTTAAGATAAGATAAGGCCACGCCTAATTATTAGTGTCATATAAATTAATGCCATTCTCTTCCATTTTTTTTCACATCTATCAATCAATTATCAGAATAATTTTGGCAAAGGTTTTAAAAATATAGTATTTTTTTCTTGTTTTGCTTTTAGAAAGTCTTGAAATTTGCATCGATATTCAGCCGTGAAGTTGTAAATTTTGCTGTGAGAAAAGGAGACTCTGCATAGATGAATCAATTTTCATAAAGTAATCAAAAAGTGTCGTGGCTCAGGGGTCAAGCACTTGACTTGCAATCTGCAGGTCTTGGGTTCGAATCCCGCCAGGTACCAATGGGTTTTTCAAAATAAAAATAAAAAGTTTTAGTTACATAAACCGGCAGTATTTCAGTATTGGAATTTCTATATTTGTGTCGAACAAAACAAAAGGCATCAAAAAAGTAGTAGCTCGCGAACCTTCGGACGTGTGTTTCCACAGAATTACAAAAATGATTAGAGCGGTCCGGTATAAATATTTGTTGAGCTTTATGCGACGGCCGACGGAAACGGTTTAGCGTGGACACGTTAAAATGGCGGTCGCGTCGGACTCGCGACGTTTCCCAGAAGGGCCGATTGACAATACCGATATATTTGAAGTCTCGTTCGAATTTTAAACTTGTAAACAAACTGTGGACTATCGATGGGTCACGACCAAAGGCAAGGTGGCTCCGGGCCGCAGGTCGTGTCGGCTCGCTAACTCGCCACCGACAAAGAACCGCTCCAAATACGCTAACGATTTTACGGAGTCGGGTCTAATTGTATTTTTAAACAATTCACTTAACGTAAAGAGAAGTCACGGTTCACAACATATTCTTAGATTAGAAAAAGTTTTCGCCTTTGTCACCGTGCTTTGTCGACTAAGTGGACTTTCTTGGATCATTGAAAATATTTGTTAATTAGAAACTAGATTACGTCTATTAAATCAAATATGACTGCCATGATTTTGCTCTATTTGAACTTATTATAAAGCAATTGATTTTAATTACAGAAAAAGTAATTTTATAACTTTAGGTTTCATCACCTTTTGAACAATACGAGCAAAGAATTTAGCTTGACTCCGATAGTTATTCAGTAATCCGAACAGATTCGATTCCACAAATAACACTCAGGGAGACCACAAAATCGAATGAAAACAAGACCTCCGAGCTGCAACTAAATTGGATCGACATTTGTCTTGATCCGTTGGACGTGACGCCTTTACATTACTGCGTGACGTTAACGACACGATTAATATTTTTGATTGTAATCGAATCAATGTAATTCAGTCAATTTTTAAATATATTTATTAATATTCTTTTTTTACCCGACTGTCAAGGCGGTAATATCATTCGCTCGTTTGTAAGTTTGTTTTGACATATATGTATGTACGTGAATTCCTTTGTAACGGCCTAGAGCCTAAACGACTGAACCTACAGTTTCTTTTTCTAATAGTCCTTTGTTCAGTTATTAACATGGCCACAGTCCAGCATATTCAGTTAGAAAATATTAAACAACGATATTTCTGGCTTCTGTAGTACATTTATGTCGTAGTCGTAAAAAGAAACGCGTCTTTGTCGTGGCCGGATAATCCATGTCGTTATGGCGCGTTACCGCTGCCGACTCTAATTGCGACTGAGCTCTACTGAAGAGTTCGCGTTGCTAAGACCCATCCGCAGACAAATGGAGAATTACTAGTACTTTCTGACCTAGATTTTAAAAGAGCAACCATCGTCTCGTGCATTGTAAACGTTAAGAGCTGAAAGCCATTAATGCGGGGAAATGGTTGCTTTTGTTGTAATTAGGAGATAATGCTCAAAAGTGTTGTGAGTGTACCTTTTTTCATAGAATGAAAAATAAATTTGTGAACAGTTAAGCGACGGTTGCTGTAAACGTGGACTATAGCGTGGCTTTATAAAGAAGGTGAACCACTTAACCTCTTGCTACAACCCTTAGTTGCCGTGTTAAATGTAAAAATCTAAAGAATGAATGCTAATATACGGGATAAATAAGAAGTCCTTTAATAAAATTTTATATATTGTAAAATTGTAAAAAATAAATTACAAACTATAAAAAACGGAAAGATTAATTTGCGGTTACAACCTTTCCTTATCATTTCTGACCTAATAATATTAAATTTTATTATATATATTTTTCGCAAGGTAAAAAAGCACAACTTATAAATAAGAAAATTTATTGGTCGCTGTAATAAAATTACAGATAACAAGGTCTTTAGTGAACACAAATAGTAATATAAAAGTTTATATGACTTTTAAATTAATTCAGCGGGCGAAGAGGGGTGGAGGCGCGGTGGGGGGAGGGAGGTAAGTAATGGCGACTTATCCACGACATTAAAAATGTTATCGCTCCGTTTGGGAACATCGGACCTTATCAGCTATATGCAAATTTAGCGACGCCAAAACAGCACTAAATTATGTTTATTATTTTATTATGTGCAACTATTATAATAATTAATTTTTATTTTTAATATTAAGATTTAGTTTTTGTATAGAAACAGAATTAATGTTTCGTCTATAATCATTCCTAAAAAAACGAACAACGGAATTTAGAGCTAATCTGTGGTAACGGCTACTGTTTAGGTCATCACTTAACCTGTTCGTATTAAAATAAAATCCTGCCTCAATTAATTTCTAATTTATGTTTCCTCTTGTCATAAGAAAAAAACATGATCTTAATCAGTAACATTACTAAACAGCGCCATCTCTTAACAGGCGATGAAAACATACTGTAAAAAAATAAGACTTCAACTGTGAATAAATCAACTTTGCGAATAAATTATATGTACAAATCTGCTTACAAAATATTTAACTATAGTAATAATATTGATTTGCAAAGGTTTCTGGTGGGCGAAGTGTTTGCGAGGGCGATTCAAACGAGCTGTTATGAAAACTTGCCAAATCAATTAACATTATTACCCGACAAGTAACGCTCGTGCGTGCGTTGTTTGCGGTGCTCATACCAGCAATAGTTATTTCAATTTGGTGGCATTAGCGAGCGCCCGCTATGTTTGTGATAACACACCTCGATAATGGGCTTTTGAAATTTGAATTTCACTTCGGACCACACTTGGAATTGTCGGTTTTGATTAGGTGCTAATTTCATTTTGTAAGCGATGTTACTAACAACTGTACCATTTGTATACATGATTTGCATGTTTAACATTTTATTCAGGTAAATATTCCTACCTTTTTATTCATTTACCTCGAACTTTTCCATTAATGTTGAATGTTATCGTATTCGATTACACAAAAAAAAATAAAATAATGACGTATTTGAACTTGATTTTTAAAAATAAAACTTAATCGTGATTCAATTTTTTTCTGTCAAATTGTGAATACATGTTACCAGCTCTGTAATGTAAAATTATAAGATCATTTTATTTATACGTTCAATAATATAAACAACTCTTATATTAATAAAGGTATTAATAAAAACGTCATTTATGTTTTAAATGTAACTGGCAGCTATCCACCGTATAAGCCGTTTGAACAATTTCAATAAAAAAGGAATCTCGTCCTAAGTCCGCCCCGTGCCGTAATCCATATTCCAGTAGACAGTACCACACGAGACGCTTGTCCTCGCATTTTTCAACCGGCGCTGGACTCGATTAATCTTCCTTATCTGTCCCATCGGCGGCCGCCACTTGAATAATCGCTTTGCGGACGAGTTTAACATAAATTAAGTTTTCCACGACACCTGAGATACCTCCCTGTGTTAAAACGACCACAGTGCCACTTTACCGACAGGCTACGGGATTATCGACTTTATGCTGATGACTATAAGAGTTGTAATAGGTGCTGTATTAAGTTGGTGAGGTGAGTAATAATGAGCCGCATTCGAGAGATGTATATCGCAGGGACGAAAGAAAGGTTAAGTGTGAACATTTGTTTGTTAATGCCCTCTTGTAATGGATTCGTGGGTTTGTTTTTTGGTCGAATGATAAGTCGTCCGGCGGGATTGATCGATCACCCGATTACTTTACCGAAACGCGCCGATAGCGGCGGGATACCAGTGGAATATCAGTAAACATGGGTGCAGGGCTGGGTGCCTGCCCTGGGAGCCACAATTAATGGGACAAAAGATATCGTCACCATTCATTACAGCTGCCTGTGCGATAAGATAATTAGCTGGCGATGGTCGAACCGGTGCTTTTAAGTTTCAGAAGACCTTGTC